GAGCTCGTCGACGGGGTCTGCGTCGCGGAGGTCTGCCGACCCGCGGCGCTCGTCAGCCCCGGGCCCACGCTTCCGCACAGGACGCAGGAGACCCACCGTGCTCGAAGTCTGCGTCCTGCTCGTGGACGACGAGGTCAGCGTCTGCGACACGGTCAGCGTCGTGGGTGTCCGCGAGGTCTGGCCGCGCAAACGTGCCAATGATCAGCCCGAGCTGATCCGAGGGCCTGACCCGGGCTTACCGTGCTGGACGTCAGCGTCTCGCTGGTCGTCGCGGTCTTGGAGCTCGTGGAGGGTGTCTGCGTCGCTGAGGTCTGCCGAGACGGGGCGGCGTCAGATCGGAGGCGGGCGGCGAGCGCAAAGGACGGACCGTGGAGGACGTCTGCGTTTGGGTGGCGGTGGTCGACGTGAGCGTCTCGGTGGCGGTCGAAGAAGTGAGGGTTTCGGTTGCCGTCGAAGAAGTGAGGGTTTCGGTTGCCGTCGAAGAAGTGAGGGTTTGAGTTGCCGTCGAAGAAGTGAGGGTTTGAGTTGCCGTCGACGACGTGAGCGTCTGCGAAGCAGTCGACGACGTCCGCGTCTCTGTGGCCTGCAGACGGGTGGACGGTCAATCCCGGGCTCCGATCATGCGGTGCCGCCCAGGGCCCACCGTGCTCGACGTCCTCGTCTCGCTCGCCGTGGACGAGGTGAGCGTCTCGCTCGCCGTGCTCGACGTGAGCGTCTCGCTGGCCGTGGACGAGGTGCGCGTCTCCGAGGCGGTGGAGGAGGTTTGGGTCTCCGAAGTCTGGCAGGGCGGGGAACGGTCACATGGGGGTGGCAGGCACGGCGGAGGGGACGCGCACCGTGCTCGAGGTCGCGGTCTGGGTGGCGGTCGTCGAGGTCAGCGTCTCCGAGGCGGTGGACGAGGTCGGGGTCTCCGAAGTCTGTCGGGCGGCCGGCGGTCAGATCAAGGCACTGATCCGCTTCTCCACACCGCAGCCCACCGTGCTCGACGTCGCGGTCCTGCTCGTTGTCGACGGGGTGGCCGTCGCCGACGTGGTCGACGGCGTCGGGGTCTGCGGACCGGGCGGAGGGATGAGATCGGACCAGGCAAGGCCGGCAGCGGGCGGGATCCCACCTCCGTCCTCGTCTGCGACCGGCTTGTGGTCGACGGGGTTGCCGTCCGCGAGGTGCTCGTGGGGATCCGGGTCAGCGAGGTCTGGCAGGCCAGGGAGAGGTCCGCGGATCAGCTTCTTCGCGAAGGATCCCTGTTCGGGCGGCCCACCGAGGTGCGGGTCGCGGTCCCGGTGGCGGTGGTGAGCGTGCGCGAGGTGGTCGCGGAGGAGGTCCGCGTGAGGGAAGTGCTGGGCGTCCGCGAGGTGCTCGAGGTCTGGGTGCGCGACGTGGTGGTGATTGTGGCGACAAAGGCGCCGTCCCAGCGCCCGCTGTAGGTGAGCGAGGAGATTGTGAAGAGCGCCGTGGTCATGTCGGTGCCGGTGGTCATGCCCGACGGCGAGTTGACGAAGCGGATGAAGAGCTCGAAGCTCGTTGTCCCGGCCACGGTCAGCATCTGCACGTTGGAGAAGGTCGCCCGCCAGCGGCCGTTGCCGCTCAGGTTCTCGACGCGGAAGCCGTCCAGCTGGCTGAGCCAGTTTGCCTCCGCCTGGCCGCGCTCTGTGATGAACATGGACGTCGCCGAGAACTGCGTGAACTGGTTGAGCGAGGTGTCCCAGAAGACGCCGGCGGTGAAGCGGAACGAGCTGACGTTGCCCGAGGTGAACGTCGCGCTGGCGGTGTACACGCCGAACTGCGCTTCAACGGGCGCCGCAAACAGCAGCGCGAACAGCACCGCGGCGGCGAGTGCTGACCGGCGCAGCGTCATCGCGGCGGTGTCGGCGCGCGCTGCCCGCCGCCCTCTCGCCGCGCACGCACTGCCCGCCGCAAACACACCGCGCTGCTGAGTGCGGCGGTGCGGGGCGCGGCGGCGGTCCCCCTCGGGCGGGGTGTGGGCGGGTTCGCGCCAGCGCTTTCGCCATCAGCGTCACCAGCCCCCGGGCGGGGTTCGGCGCGCGCCGGCCCCTTTCCCTCGCCGGCCCCATTTTCCCCAGGGGAGTAGGAGAGGCAGGAGGGGGCGAGACGGGGGCAGGGACACGCAAGAGGGAAGACCCCCATTCCCCGTCCAGCTCTCCGCGGGGGGCTCGCTGCGCTCCGTGCCGAACAGTACCCCGGCCTTCCCTCGGCTCCAGCCGTCATCCATCGGTGTCCGGACCACGTCTTGAGGCAATCAAGCAGGTCCATCAGGCCCATAATCTACAATGCAGCGGGCATGGCCGCAGCCCCGGCGTGCGTCCGCGGCAGCGAGGCCCCTCGCTCGTCCCACTAGTCTCGTGGCAAGTCGTCAGAGAGCTCCAGCTGGCCAGATATCGGACTCGGAAGAGGACTCGGACTCGAAGGCAAGCAGATGCTTTCATCGGGTATAATCCAAATCAGACAAAGAGAATCAACGACAGAGATCTACGCGGCCGCCACCCTCTGCCGCCTCACTTTCCCGAACCACTTGGCCGGGTCGAACCGCTTCGTCTTCCGCGGCTTGTCCTCGTGCGCGTGCACCGGCGCCGGCTCGGGCTCCTGCGCCGGAACGAGCGCCGCGGCGGCGGTCTCGACCGAAGCCATGCTCACGTCCGATCCCGCGCGCTCCACGCGGAGGGTGGCGTCGCTCTCGTCACCCGACGACTCGGCGTCGGCAACGGCGTCCAGGGAGGCCAGGTAGGCCGGCAGGATGCGGGCGAGGTCGGCGTCGACGGCCTTGGCGGCGCGGCGGGCGTCGAACGCCGACGAGGGCAGCTTCGGGATCGTGACGCCGGAGCGCATCGGTGCGCGCTCCACAGCCAGGTCCGCGAGCCAGGGGTGCGCGAGCAGCGATTCGGCGGTGATCCTGCCCTCGTTGCGGGGGTCCAGCACTGCGGCGAGGAAGGCGTTGGCGGCCCCGCTGGCGCCCTCGACCGGCGCCGGCAGGCCCGCGGCGATCTCGGCCTGCAGCTCGAGCGGGTCCTCGTGGCGGAACGGGAAGTACCCCGTCAGCAGCCCGTGCGCGAGCACGCCGACGGCGTGGAGGTCCGGGTGCCCGCCGCGGGGCGAGTACGGCCGGCGCTGGTTGACCAGGCGGAGCAGGCCGGGGCCGGCGTAGTTGATGCAGCCGACGGACTCGTCCAGCAGCGTGCGGTCGTCGAAGAAGGTGGCGAGGCCAAAGTCGATCAGGCTCAGGGTGCCCGTCGAGGCGTCCCAGAACACATTGTCCAGCTTCACGTCGCGGTGCAGCACGCCGTGGGCGTGGGAATGCCGCAGTGCCTCGAGCAGCTCGGCGACGATCACGCGGGCCTCGGCCTCGGGGAGCAGGCCGCCGGGCTGGTTGTTGACGTACGAAAACAGCTCCTCGCCGGGAGCGCGAGCCATCACGGCGTGCACGGCATCGCCGGAGCGGGCGACGTCCAGCAGCGGCGGGATGCTGCGGTGCGGCGGCAGGTGTGCGAGCACGCGGGCCTCGCGCAGGGCGAACAGCAGGTTGCGCGGGTTCGACGTCGGCGTCGTCTTGGCCACCGCGGTGCCGCTCTTCCCCCTCGCCAGCCGCACCGCCGCGAACGCGCCCTCGCCGAGCACGCGGCCGGTCGCCCACTCGCCGGCGGCGCCGTGCACGACGGGCCCGCTAAAATCCTCGGCGGGGGCGGCGGCCGGGGAGGGCGCGGGCAGCTTGGCCGCCGGCGCGCGCGCGTGGTCCTTCTCGTCGCAAAGCGTGCAGCTCGACGCGCGTTCCAAAATCACGGGCTTCATGGCGTCGGTCATGTCGATGTTCGATGTACGGGTGGAGTGGAGGAGCAGTGGTCGGTTGTTATATCCGTGCCGGATCAATGTCGAAACGACGGAACATCGTCGCAAGCGCTTACGCGGTTCCGGCCGGCCGGGGCTCTCACCAAACACCGAAACCAGCAAACCGATGCGGTGACGCCGCCGCCTCCACGCCAAGCCTGCACGCTCGTACGTACCTCCAAAGATTATCCTGCGGTTCCGGGCGCGGGGCGTGCACGCGTTATGCAACAGGGGCTCCCGCCCGGGGGCAAGTCGACAGCGCTACGCGGGCGGATTTACGTTCTGCCGGGGCGATTCTCCCGCGGCTTCCGGGCTTCCCGCGCGGGAACCGGGGATCTGCCGCGGGTAAGGCGGCAGCGCGGTGGCTTCGGATGAAGCTACCTCCTATCCGGGGATTGAGGCGGCGCGCGCCGAAGACGGATTGGAGCAAGACGCGCTGAGCTGTGCCACCGCTGTACCGCTTCCGCTCGGAACGCGCCGATCACTTGCCGGCATATGAATCAGCTCGAAATGATGTCCGAGTCCAATCCGAGGGGTTACGGCCCACAGTCCGCGGCCACGAGCCCCTTAGTCCCGGACGATGTTGATTGTTATCGCGGCAGCGGGCATCCTGTCCTTGAGCTCCGGGCGATCAGCAATTCGAAGCAAAAGCATTTACCGAGCAACGGGCTCGGATTGACGGACCCCTGGCGCACTCAAGCGTTTGCCTGCCGGTGAGGGCGCTGCGTCACTAGCGCGAGGCGTGTAGATGGTCGAAGTCGCCGTAGATGGCGCCGATCCGCTGCCCGAGGTCGATCCCGCAAAAGAAGGCTGGGAAGCGGTCCTTCTGCTGCTTGGCAGGACGCCCCAGCTGGCCGGGGCGCAGCCCCGGGCAGCCCCCACTGGGAGCAAAACCAACGGCGAGGCCGAGCCGATGTCCGGGAGGGTCAGAACGGAGGCAGGCGGGCCGCAGGCCCGCCGGGGAGCAAAAGACGTCGCTCGAGGCGACATCAGGCGATCGACCCAGCGAGGGCTCGGACCGAAGGACCCCGGCGCAGCGGGCTTCCGGCGGGAAATGAGGCCCGGCGAGGCCGAGCCGATGTCCGGGAGGGTCAGAACGGAGGCAGGCGGGCCGCAGACCCGCCGGGGAGCAAAAGACGTCGCTCGAGGCGACATCAGGCGAACGACCCAGCGAGGGCTCGAACCTCGGACCCCTTGCTTAGGAGGCAAGTGCTCTAATCCACTGAGCTACAGGGCTTTAGATCATCCGCTAGGGCGGGGAGGGGCATTGTGACCGCCAAGGCCCGCGGAGCCGGCCCCCCCCCCGAATAGTCCGAATGGCGCTGCACTTGCGCGCGTCCGACCGGCCCGCCGCGAAACACCCCTCGCGGCGGCCCGCAACGCGTCGCAAACGATCCCGCAGTTCGCGCCCGGGCTCTCTTTGGCCGCCCCGCGTCCCCCGGGAACGGGAATTGCGGGTCCGGGTGTGGCCAGCCTCACCAGCGCGACGTTTCGGCCTTTTCCGGTCCCGACCGCGGCCCCAACTCGACGCTACTGGCCAGAAGCGCATTTCGGGGGCAAAGAAGCGCGATTCGGGACGCCGCCGGGACGATGGGGAGCCCGCGTCGAGGCCGCGAGGGCGGCGCACGAAGCACACGCGCCGGGCCCGCCATCCTGCCCGAATCGGCCGCCCTGAGGCGTCTTGATGAAGCTGATGGTGCCGTGTCTGGCTTGGTAGAGGCCGGGGACTTCCTCCCTGGCGCCCCCGGGCGGAGCTGCCGGGCCGGCCAGCTCTCTGTCCCGGGCACCATTGCACTCCCATCCCGCCTGCGGATCCGACCCCCAGCTCACTCCAAAAGTGGAAGCACAACGACATCACATCGTGGAGGGTACGGCTGCGGACGGAGACAAAGTGCTTCAAATGGCCCCGCTCGCTGGATAGAGCATCCTTTCTCAAGAAGGAAGGGTTTGTAGCTCAGTGGATAGAGCGTCTGCCTACGGCTTCTGATCATCTTGACTCGTATCCTGCGATTCGAATCTGGTGTCGGAGCGGCTAGCAGAAGGTCGTAGGTTGCGGAATGGCATGCCCTTGAGGATAGGTCCCTTTAGGGAGCGTCTGCTACGCAGGAGACAGGGTCTTCGCAATGGGTGTGCAAGGCATTTTCCCTGCTTTTCGGATGCAAATGCTGCGCCCGATTATGTCACCCCCATGCGAGGCTTGCAACGCGGGGGTAAAAGAGAGAACCGGCCGCGGTGCGGCGCGGAGCGGCACGGGCTGGTCGAGATTGTTACAGAGATATCCTAAATCTGACACTGTTGCTAGTCGACTGCTCTCCAACCGACCGCGTGACGCAGCAACACCTCGTCGACCCGGACCTGGTCGGGAAGCACGGGCCGCGGGTGAGCTGTCGGATGAAGCAGCGGAGTCGACGCCGGACATGCAAAGTCAAAGGCGCTGGCACCGGCGGACTCGCAATGTTTTGGAATGTTTAAGTCCACATCCGAATGCTTCGCGATTATGCCGCGAGGATGAGGGGTTTTCCCAGGTTTCCCGATTACGTCATGGCTGGCTGTAGCTCGAGTCTTCTGAAGAGAACGCCGTCCGTCCCCCACCCAACAAAGCCAACGATGAAGGAGGACGAGCACATCTGCATGGAGCCGCGCGACTCGCTGTCGTCCGAAGCGCCTAGCCTCGGGGGCGCGCAGACGGCGACGTTGTTCTCGGCCACGCTGCTGCCTGCGTCCCGCGGCGGGCCCGACTTCAGCGACCGCGAATGGGTCGTGCTGTTCCCCAACGAGCCCCGCATTCCGTACTCGTTGCTCACTGCGACCGCGACCGTCGACCGCGCCGCCGGCCTGCGCGCCGCCCAGCCGCTCAGCGACGCGGCCTTTCGCGCAGGGGTGGCGCCGTACAAAACAGCCGCGGCCGCGCTCGCCTACTCGCTAGGCGTGCAGCGGCTTTCGCGACTCTTCAGCCTCATCAACTCCCTGCTGAACGTGGCCGGCGTGCTAATGATCGTCGCGCTGTGGCTGCTGAACCCGCGGGCGGAGCACCCGTATCCGGACAAGCAGGTCGGCTTTGCCACCGCGGCGCTTCTCTTCACCTTCCTTGGGCTCATGGTAGCCGCCGTGCGTGACAAGAAGGCGGAGAAGGGCATGGACGGTGGGTTGCCGTCTGCCGCCGCGCCTCCGCTGTTGACCCGCGGTACCGGTGCCGTCCAGAAATGCTCAACACCTCCCCCGCCGGCGACTTTTCGGGCCATCCCTACGCCGGCGTCGCCCGGTGGACCCAGCTTCTCGAATCAGGTCCTTCTGCCCTCACCGCACACGACCCGCAAGACCACCTCTGCCCGTGCCCGCTCAAATCGTGCGCGGGCGATTCCGCCGACGCTGCGGCCCGCGAGGCGCTAATCACTGGCACGGTGGCCCTCTCTTTTGAGGTCTGCGGGAACGTTTTGATTCACTGGACGGTCATCGTCACGTTTGCCCCCGTCACCTACACGACGCCCTGGGCCATCTTCATCATCGTCGTGTTCTGCATGAACCTCTTCTTCCAGGAGATCTCCACCCCCTACCCGTCGAGCATTGCCTCGCACCCTCCGATGGACCTCGCGAAGCGGCTGCGGAGCCGCGCCGTGATGCTCGTCCTGCGCGACCTCCTGCACCGCGAGCGCAACGTGGTGGACAGGGAGGCGGTCCCCACTGATCCCCTGACCGCCGAGCAGTACGCGATCCTGCACCGCGAGCTCTCGCGCACCTGGCGCAGCTTCCTCGCACGGAGCTCCCATCCCCGCACCCTATACGCCACCATCCTCGTCCTCTTTGTCGGCAGCGGCATCATCTACCTCATCGGCGAGGCGTGCGTGCCCATTTGGGTCCCCATCATCTTTGCCGAGTTCACCCTGGTCCTACTGCGGGACCTCGCTCTGCTCGCGCTGTGGAACTCGAGCATCGAGCAGATCCGGCTCCTGTATGCATCGACAGTGGTGGAGCTGCTGAGCATCGGCACGCCCTCGGCGCGGCGACACGCGGACCTGATCACCGCGTTCGTCGGCGAGGACGTGCGGGGCAAGTGGATGGGCTTTCTCGTGGACTTTTCGGCCGTGAGGACGGCAGGGGTCACCCTCTTCACACTGGGGGTCGGCCTGTACACTATCTTCAGGGGGCTTAACATCAGCTTCCCGGTGTCGACGGTGTGCCCGGGCGTTGTGGCGGCGTGACGGGAGCTCGGATGCTCGTGCGTGAAGCTTCCGGACGTGCGGACGGCCGCGGCGGGGACGACCTTCATGTATCCAGTCTCCACACGGAAGCGACAACCTTCGGGCTGGCGATTTTGCCAGCTAGGTGCTCCCAGAACTGGAGTAACGCCGGATCACGTCGTCCGCGGTCCGCTACAGCTCCTTGCGCACTCGACACACTTAGATGCGCTGACAGAGGCCCGTGGGTTGGATGCAGCCGTTTCCAGTTTCATCAAGGAAGTCAAGGAAGACATTGAGCAGGCCGGCGAGAATGGCGGGAGCTTGCACCTCGGCAAGCAGGGGCTTGCAATGGTAGAGAACGCACTTTCTGAACTCTGTGGAAGCCAATGTGTCAGCCGACACCATCAAGGGGTAGCTCTCGCGTCCAGTGCCGTCTAGGAGCGCCCCGCGCTTGCCGGCCCCTGGGCGGTTTCCGTGCCACTTGAGGCCGACCCTGCACGCATGGGCCCGCAACAGCCCCCTGAGGTGAATGACGCGGTCCATTTGCGGCACGATCCCGCGGGGACGGAGTTCCCACACCGCTGGGGCAAGGCGCAGAGGCCGCGATGGCATGGCCGGGCACGCTGGGTCGACCGGTTCGGCCGCCCGCCGCATCGCGCTCTGGACTGAACCCGGCGGTCCTCTGGTGTTTCGCCCTTTTGCATGTTCGTGGGAAGCAGTTTTCTTCCGGGAAGCGGGCATTGAGCGACGACGCTACCCGGAATTGCGCGCCAGGAGGGCCACTCGGCGGGCCCAGCGCAGAGGCAGTGACCGCTCGTCCTCGGTCCCTTACCGGTCTTCTCGCTTCGAAAACACATCGAAGCTTCCGCCAAGGGTGGCAATTTGGGCGCCGCAATTTCCAGTTCCATCCAGGGACGGCCGGCTCCCGGCTGGCCGAGGTGAACCATGCTTCCGTGCCACGTGAGGCCGACCATGGACGACAGGGCCCGAAACCACGCACCGCACCAATCAGTGAGAATGATTTGCCGAACGGATTGGGCAGGGACGGAGTGCGTGGACCGGGATCCGAGAACCCTGGGCCTTGAACCCTGCCGATGGCTCGCACACCTGTACTGACGCAGGGCGAGGCTCTACGCCTTCGGCCGTGATCCAGCAAGTGCTCTAATCCACTGAGCTACAGGGCTTTAGATCATCCGCTAGGGCGGGGAGGGGCATTGTGACCGCCAAGGCCCGCGGAGCCGGCCCCCCCCCCGAATAGTCCGAATGGCGCTGCACTTGCGCGCGTCCGACCGGCCCGCCGCGAAACACCCCTCGCGGCGGCCCGCAACGCGTCGCAAACGATCCCGCAGTTCGCGCCCGGGCTCTCTTTGGCCGCCCCGCGTCCCCCGGGAACGGGAATTGCGGGTCCGGGTGTGGCCAGCCTCACCAGCGCGACGTTTCGGCCTTTTCCGGTCCCGACCGCGGCCCCAACTCGACGCTACTGGCCAGAAGCGCATTTCGGGGGCAAAGAAGCGCGATTCGGGACGCCGCCGGGACGATGGGGAGCCCGCGTCGAGGCCGCGAGGGCGGCGCACGAAGCACACGCGCCGGGCCCGCCATCCTGCCCGAATCGGCCGCCCTGAGGCGTCTTGATGAAGCTGATGGTGCCGTGTCTGGCTTGGTAGAGGCCGGGGACTTCCTCCCTGGCGCCCCCGGGCGGAGCTGCCGGGCCGGCCAGCTCTCTGTCCCGGGCACCATTGCACTCCCATCCCGCCTGCGGATCCGACCCCCAGCTCACTCCAAAAGTGGAAGCACAACGACATCACATCGTGGAGGGTACGGCTGCGGACGGAGACAAAGTGCTTCAAATGGCCCCGCTCGCTGGATAGAGCATCCTTTCTCAAGAAGGAAGGGTTTGTAGCTCAGTGGATAGAGCGTCTGCCTACGGCTTCTGATCATCTTGACTCGTATCCTGCGATTCGAATCTGGTGTCGGAGCGGCTAGCAGAAGGTCGTAGGTTCGATCCCTACCTGACTCGCCATTTTCTTTTGCTCCTGCTGCCTCTCTTTTGGTTGATGCAGCCCGGGCTTGCGCCCGGGCAAACCTATATTTTCTTCCCGGGCACCGCCAACCACGGCACCGGCCTCGGGGTGCGCCGCCGCGACGTCAGGGCGGCCTGCCGGCCGCCCGGCTCGGTCAGTCCGCCTCCGGCGGGGGGCGCGGCTGCGCAAAGATTGTGCGGCTTCAGACTCTCTGGCCTACAGCACGGCATCACTCCTTGGGGGTGTCTAGCAACAATACTCCTTCTTGGGGCGGCGCACTCCTCATTCCTTGGCTTCGTGCCCTAACCGTTCGAATTCGCATATCCGTCACCTTGATCGCTGTGAGACAACCTGCCGCGACGCGCGTCGCGACCCGTCGTCCCCCCTGCCGCCTTCTCTGATCTGCATCGCGGCAATGCAGCATCATTACCATCCGAGCGCGCCCTCCGTCCGGGCGGCATCCTTGCCGCACCGCCAGAATGCGAGAGTCTCGACGATTGGTGCTCGGCCTTCTGGGCTTGACAGGCGTGCACCGATCGAGGGGCTGCGGTCCCATGGCGTACGCTTTCCTCCAAGACGTAATCGCCGAAGCAAGCGAACGGCGACAGCTCTGGCAATCGAGCTCGGTGCTGAGCTGTGATGGCCCTGCTGCCTGGTCCGCTGCTTTGATCTTTGGTTGAGGACGTATCGGCCGGAAAGGCTCGGAGAAAATGCTCCCGCATGGACGCCCGCTCCCTTCCGATCACGTCACGCCGCAATGCCACTCTGCCACCACGCATCTGTTCAGCATCTGCCAATGCCAAGTCGTCACTTGACCCGGTCCCTCGGCAGCTGCGGCCTCCGTCGACTTCACCAGCTCGGTCTGTCCACTGCCCTTCTGACGAGCTCCCTCCCTACCCCGCCGCTCGCCGATACCTCGGCGGTGCCCTTCCCTGGACCTTTCGACGGGTGGAACTGTGGCGGATTTGGACGATGATTCTCGGGAGTGGATAACTGTTAGCGCTTGTGCAGTTGGAGTCGTCGGACCGCCGCCACCGAGACCGGACCGGGTCTGCCAAGGCGACAGTGAGTCGGGATTATGCGGTCCTCCCACTTTTGGGCATCCGCCCACGGCCTGCGCCCGTCTCAAGTGTGCGGCCACGTTCGCTTTGGGGAGCGCTGATCCGGCGCACGCGGACGTGCGGAGTGCGGTGCGGCGCGTGCGTGGAAGCCTCCTTGCATCATGGATCGGCCCTGACGGGACTGCGACCCGCGTCTTTTTCGGAAGCTATAAGTCACACGCCCTCCACCCCACCGTCCGCCTCCCTGTCTGGCGGTTGCCCGCCCCGCGCCTCCGCAGCCCTCTGCGCCTTCTTCCTCCTCCTCTTTGCCTTCTTCCTCCCCTGCCCCTCCCACTGCTGCCTGCTCGCCGAGAGTCCCGCGATCTCGTAGTCGATCGTGCCCCGCCGGGGCGGCCTCGGCCGCTCGACCACAGGGGAGGCCGGCCCGCCGTCGTCGGTGTCTTCCGTCCTGGGCACATCGATCCCGTCCGTCGAAGCGGCGCCGAGCAGGGGGCTCGTCTCGTCCGCGACCAACTCCTCCCGTTCCCCGTCCCCGCCGGCCCCCTCCGACGGCAGGAGCAGAGGGACCAGCACCCTCTCCTCGATCGCCTCGAGCCTCCCGTTTAGCCACGCCGCCCACCCCACCGTCCCCCGCTCCTCCTCACCTCCCTTCCCCTCCACATCAATCGTCTCCGGATCCGCGCACACCCCCAGCCAATCCATCACGTACGGGCACAGCCCCCCCAGCAGCAGCACCGACCCCCCCACGACGACCAGCGTTGCGCCCATCGCCGTCCGCCTGAACCCCGCGTCGAGGTTCGCGTCCGCGGCCATGGCCATCGACAGCACGAGCGCGATGCCGCCCCGCAGCCCGGCGAACCAGGCGAAGGCGGCCTCGTTGGGGCGGATCGGGTTCCCCGGGGAGCGGAGCAGGGCGTTGCAGAGCGGGACGAGGGCGAAAACGTGCAGGCGGGAGGCGAGGAGGGCGAGGAAGACGGCGAGGGAAAAGGCAGGGTCGAGGGTGGCGGAATCCGGGGGGAGGGCGAACAGGGCGAGGCCGAGGTAGCAGAAGAGCGCCGTCTCCATGAAGTGCGCGAGCACGCGGAGGACCAGGGCGGTGCCCTCGGCGGCGCCGGAAGAGAGGTTGGGGCGGACCCACTTGTCGGCCGAAACGCCGCAAAAGAGGATGGAGATGATGCCTGAGAGGCCAAAGAACTCGGAGGTGATGTAGGACATGTAGGCCAGGGTGAGGACCAGCAGGGCCTCGGTCCCCGGGCCCCGTTCCCGCAGGTGCACGTACTTGAGGGTGGCTGCGGCCGCCCACGCATACGCGATGCCCGTGGCGGCGGCGGCGACAAAGATCCCGGCGCTGTCGGCGACGGCCCATGCCACGCCGGCCGGGGTCGCGTCGGCGTCGGGCTCGGCAAAGCGCGAGCACAGGCGGAACATGATGATGCCGACGGCGTCGTTGAGCGCCGACTCGCCAAAGATGACCATGTCGAGGTCGGGCCAGACGGGCGCGTCCTTGAAGGCCGCGAGCACCGAGACGGGGTCCGTGGCCGAGAGGGCGGCGCCGTACACGAGGGCTGAAAAGCGGCGTCAGGTGCGACTCGCAATAAATGGAGCAAGTTGGCCCACCCTGGACGAAGGAGACGTGCATGCCCGCGAGGCCGGCAAACAGCCTGACCAGCGCGGCGGTAAGCAGCGACGACACGGCGGGGCCCAGGTACGCCAGCACGAGCACGGTGGGCGCGTTGCGGCGGAACAGCACGCGGTTTATGGAGAAGCCAGCCTCGAAGATGATTGGCGGCAGGATGGCTGCCGAGAAGAACTCCGCGTCGAGCAGCACCACGGTGCCGCCGACGCCCTCCGCGCGCACGACGCCGAAGCCGGCGGCCGCGCCGACGAGCACCGCGACGGCCGCCTCGCCGAGGAACCGCACGCCGCGCGCGTGGGCGGCGTGCGACAGCAGCACCGCCGCGACGACGCTCGCGCACACGACGAGGATCGCGCGCGGCGCATCGTGCGCCTCGCCGGGCGGCCCGTCGGCGGGTGGCGTCATCGCGGGCACTCTCACTCTCGCTGGCCGATGGCGCGCGGCGCGAGTGCGGCGGGCGTGCTGCACGTGGACCCGGTCAATGCCGACCCCGCCCGGTGCGGACGCACGCGATCTGCATGGCGACCGCAACCGCTGCATCGTGGTCGCTACAGGCTACGGTCTTGCTCCCGTGCCGGCATCTACCGGGTCCCCGCATGTCCCGCGCCCCCCACCACCAGCGCAACGCTCACGTCGAGCACTGTGGGTGGAGCTCTGTTCCGGGAAGGATCAGAACAATATACACGAAAAGAACTGATCCAACTTTTTCCTCGTCAGACGTCGGCGACGCAGACACGTCCACCGCGACGCTGACGCTGACATCATCGACCACCAGCGAGACCCAGACGCCCAGCACGGTGGGACCAACCCGATCCGCTGCCTACGAACCCGTACACCGATCTGACCGTTCCAACTTGTCCTCCAGACTTCCGAGACCCGGACCTCGTCCACCACCTCGCAAACCCTCACGTCATCGACCACCAGCAAGACGCAGACGTCCAGCACGGTGGGGATTTCGATCCGGCGCCGCCTTCGTGCGGCCTCCTTAGCGGCGTCCATCCCTTTCGACGGAAGACCTCGGAAACGCCCAGCACCTCCACGCCGAGCCTCACCCCGTCCAGCACCAGCGCGACGGCCACGCCCAGCACGTCCTCGCAGGCAGAGACCCCGTCCTCCACGTCGCTGACGCCGGCGCCGTCGACGTCCAGCGAGACGGCGTCCTCCCCCGCGGCGATCCCGACGACGGCGGCCCCGGAGCCGCCGGCCACCTCCACCGAGGCCGGGACGACGTCGCGCACGCGGCAGGCTTTGGGCGCGACGACTGCGACCGCGCGTGCGCGCTCGTCGCCTCGGGCGCCACCACCTGGCGGGCCTTCAGGACCAACGGCACGCCGGCTCTCAGGGTGGCCGTGGGCGACACGATCACCCTGCGGCGGTGTCCGAGGTCGGGAGGGCAGACGTGCTTGTCGGTGGATACCAAGGGCTGTGGGTTTCCCGCACCGCGTTCCGCGGGGGCGGTGCTGACGGTCCGATCGCAGCGATCCCCTACATCTACGCTGCCACGTGCCAGGCCAACCGCGCCGCTCGGGATCTCTCCCCGAACTGGTGAGCTCCATTCGGGCTCCTTCGCTGCCCCTGGCTGATCCATCGCGCCGCGAAACAGGGCTACCCGGCCGGCCACGCAGCGCTTCCAGGTGATCGCCTCCGCGTCGAGCACCAATCAGTATCGCCTTCGGGCTTCGGACGGGCGCTGTATAGGGATCGACGTGGGTATCCTGCCCTGTTTTTCCTGCTTGGGTGCTGATCGGACGTTGGCGTACAGGCCCAGGGCAAGCTCCTCCTGGTGGCATGCCGCTCCGCCGCATCCTTCACCTTCCCCCGCGCCCCGTCGCAGACGTGCTGATCTCGCCGGCGTGGGTCCGGTGGATCACGGACGTCCGATCGGGGACGGAGGACCGGGAGCGGGAACACCTTTGTCGATTCGATTTAGCGATTGATTGCCTCCGTCCCGACATGCTTCGACCTCCTGTCCCCACTGCGCCGACCGATCACCCCTTGCTTGCTCCATCCTGCGGAAGGAGGTTTCGGCGGACGCGGATGGCGGGGCCGGCGCAGCATGCGATGAAAGCGCCCGAGGGCCGCGGACGGACCGGGCTACGAGCTCGGATCCACAGGCTTCGCTTCGAGCTGACTCATCAGTGTTCGCAAGTGATCGGTCCGCTCCCGGTGGGGAAGCACCTCCGCGCCAGCACGTGGTCCAATCCGTCCGGCCCCGCCTCCGCCTTGAGAGCCCCCCACCTCTTACTCCTCATCGGAACGGCACCGCGGCCGTCGTTCGCACCGCGGTACAACCTGGGTT